TTGTTGTTGTTTTGTTTGTTTCTTTTTGTGTGTATTGCAGCCTTGGCTGTCCTGGACTTGCTTTGTAGACCAAGCTGGTCTTGAACTTGCAGAGATCCCACTGTTTCTGCTTCCCAGAGTACTGGGATTACAGGTGTGTGCCACTGCACCCAGCTAAATAGTTTTTTTGGGTTTTTCTTTTGTTTGTTTGTTTTTAAGAAAGAAGGAAAGAAAGAAATGCAGTAGAGTGGTAGAGTGCTTAACATTTGTAAAATTCTGGGCTCACCCCCGATACCTTGAAAACAGGAGAAAGAAAAGTGGTAATCAGCTGTCCTTTGGGAGGAGAATAGCATTTTTGTGAGATTTTTTTTTTTTTTTTTTTTTGAGGTAGGGTTTCTCTGTGTAGTCCTGGCTGTTTGGAACTCACTCTTAGACCAGGCTTGCCTTGAACTCAGAGATCCACCAGCCTCTGCCTTTTGAGTGCTGGGCTTAAAGGTGTGGGCTACCACTGCCTGGCTAGGATTCGTAATTAAGGGTGCACATACACACACACACCCCTTCACGTACATGTTCACACGTGGATGTTGTTTTAGTCATCTGTGGTGATATAATTAAATATAATCTATTAAAATGGACATAAGATAATAATTTTACCTACAGTTTTATACATTAGTAATTAGGGATGAGGGATTGAGAAAGAGAGCTCATTTAGTAAAGTGCATATCACACAAGCATGAGGATCCTGAGTGATCTTCAGCATCTACAGAAAAAAACTGGGCTGGGCAGACAGCGTGGTTGATAAAGGACTTGTCTTATGAATGAGGACCCAGTCCAATCTCTAGACCCTTCATAAGGATGCTGGAAGTGCTGGTGCTTGAATGGCAGGGGCAGGTGGCTGGGACTCATTGGCCAGTCACCCTCCCCTAATCAGTGAGCCCCAGGTCCCAGTGAGACCCTGTCTCAAAAAGCAAGGTGGATGGCTCCTGAGGACATATGTGTTCACCTGTACACACTTCCACCTGCATAAACACACACACACACACACACACACACACACACAGAAATTAGGGATGAGGTTTCCTGGTTGATTTGGCTTGGCCATTAGCTCTGGCAGGAGTGGTTTTGCTAGAGAATCTATTTCTTTTTTTGTTTGTTTGTTTTGTTTTATTTGAAACAGGGTTTCTCTGTGTAGCCCTGGCTGTCTTGGACTTACTCTGTAGACCAGGCTGGCCTTGAACTCACAGTGATCTGCCTGCCTCTGCCTCCCAATGTTGCAATTAAAGGTGTGTGCAACCAGGCCCGTCTGAGAATCTATTTCTATGTGGCTTCTGTATGCACCGATCTGATGCCTTGGGCTTGTTAGTGCTCTTCTTCTCCCAGGCTGGTAGTTTATTTTCTAGGGAATCTCCTGTGTGTGTGACTTCTGGAGATAGGACCACATATTCTGTACTTGGTTTGCTTTTTTAGAGACAGGAAGTAGAAGCTACCAGGCTGGCTAAAGGCTCTTTTCAGAACAAGCAGAATGTCTTTGTTCTGTTCTGTTAGTTAAACAGTCCTAAGAGCTACTCACATTTAAGGAGGTGGGAAAACATCCTATGTCTTCAATTTTATTTTTAATTTTTGCCAGTACTGGAGATTGAACCCAGTTTTTTGTGTATGTGTCCTAAACAAGAAGTGCTCTACCATTGAATTACATCCCCAGACCCTACTTCTTGACAGGGGACTGCCAGGATCACATTTGTTTGTTCATTATGAAAAGTCTGCTGTACCTCATATTAAAGAAGGGGAAGATGAGAGATAATGTGATGGTTATCTTTAATGTATATGCCCTTAGCATACTCTATTACCTGTGAGTTACTTTGTTTTTGTCTTAGAACTAATGAAGGTTTTGAAGGCTCAGAACTAATATCTTAAGACTTTGTCAAAGTTAAACAAATTATTGTTCTACTATTATTCTATTAATACTATGGTATTAATAGACTATCCTAAGGACCAAACATAAATTTTTTAAAAGAAACTCTGTCATTTATTTAAAGTTCTTTTTTTTTTTGTAAAAAGCCATCAATCAAAATTACAAAGACATACCCTTAGTACTTATTATGTTTTGTTTGTTTGCTTTGATGCAGTCTTAAGTTGTTCTGTTTGTCCCTGAATTACCTAGGATTAAGTGATCCTAAGCTTTCAGAAAAGCTTAGTTTTTAAGCTTACATTAGATTTTTATTTAGTGGACAACATATAAAAGATCACAGGCACCAGCTAGAGCCCCACAAGGTACAGCACATTTTACTGTATAGCTCTAGAACCTGCCTCCATCCCTCACTCACCCTGTAGTTCTTTATCTTATTCCCTCTCATCAACAAATTTAAAATGACTGTGACTTGAACATGCACAACACTATGTAAAGACATAGTTTAAGTAGCCCTCATTGAAGAAGGCTTCTGTGAAGTGAGGCAATATATTGGCTGTGGACAGCTAAACAAACATGAAGCTTGATATGGTGTGCACTCCTTAATCCTAACACTTATGAGTTCACTGTCACTGTTTGAGACCAACCTGGATGAAACTCCAGTTTAAGAAAACAAAAATCTCCCAGCTTGATGCCAGATGCCTTTTTGGCCAGCCTGATCTACATAGTGAGTGCCCAAACAGCCAAGGCTACATAATAGAGACCTTGTCTCCAAAACAAACAAAAAACAACAACAAAAAAAAAACAGTAACAACTTACTCAGTGTAGCTTAAGAGACAGTGATAATCCTATAAGGTATAGCCTGATAAAAATTGCTAATTGAAAAGGTAAACAAATAATTTTCACAGATAGTCAGAAGACAAATTGGATTCAGTTGTGAGGTGCACAATACTGTGGGTGTGATCTCCTGCACCACAGGAAGAAAGGGAGGGAGGGATAGAGGGAATATATCGTCATCAGTGAAAATTGCCAGTGGAGAAGGAAGTAGGATATGGCAGTAGCATGGGCCTCTTGGAAGTTTTAAGATTTTGGGACTCATGTCATTACATTACAAACATTCTAAATGTTTGCATATATTATAAAAAGACATAGCTTCAGGAAGTGGAAGACTGGTTTCTTGCTGCATCTTGCTTAAAGTGTATCCCAGAATTTCAGAGCCCTTTAGAGGTCTAATTGTGACTAGATTTCAGAATCTATTTATGATACTCAAATATTCTGATGTTCTCCAATTAAGTTAACATTTAAGGTGTTGATGAAAGCACTTAAGTTGATTACAGCTTATTATTTGAAGTATAGGTGTATACTAATGTTCTCTGAGATATCGTAGAACCTCCATTTGCTCGTTGTGTAGATCCTGTTAGTTCTGCCTCAGAGAGGAGAGTAAAAGGTTGGCAGCTCAGTGTTCAAGTGGGTTCCCTAGTAATGGGAATAGTGACTGTCTCTAACATGAGCTCAGTGTCCTTTTTTTTTTTTTTTTTTTAAGATTATTTATTTATTTAATATATATGAGTGCTCTATCTTCATGTACACCTTCAGGCCAGAAGAGGGCATCGGATCCCATTATAGATGGTTGTGAGCCACTATGTGCTGCTGGGAATTGAACTCAGGACCTCTGGAAAAGTAGACAGTGCTCTTAACTGCTGAGCCACCTCTCCAGCCCCCAGTGTCCTGCTCTTTGGTACCTCCCCCTGAGGGGAGTGCAGCCTTATCAGGCCCCAGAGGAATTCAATACAGCCAGTCCTGATAAGACCTGATAGACTAGGATCAGATGGAAGGGGAGGAGGACCTCCCCTATCAGTGGACTTGGGGAGGGACATGGGTGAAGAAGAGGGAGGGAGGGAGGGTGGGATTGGGAGGGGATGAGGGAGGGGGTTACAGTTGGGATACAAAGTGAATAAATTATAATTAATAAAAAAATAAATAAAAATTTTAAAAAGGTTGGATGCTGGCTTCTTATTTCATTCTTCAACCTCCTTCTTTACCCTAAGACCAGATTGGTTCTTTATAAGATTTTAAATGGCAAAAAGATTTCATTGTTTACAAAGTCTGCAAATGACTGATTTAGATTAAACTAATCTGGCTATTGAACGGCATTTGTAGGAATTGATTCTTTCGGATACTATGGATTTGTCATAATTTTGATGTGAGCTGTAGATCTTTAATAATTACTTATAACTGAAACAATTACATTGCTTTCTGTAGACAGATCTGTAGGAAACAGTGTTGATATTATCTCCTGGCAATTGTTTTTCTTGCTATATAAATGACTTAATAATATTGAAGTCATTTATCATAAAGTAGGGATGGTAAAATTACATATTTTCTAAGTGTAAATGGTGAATTGGCTTTCAGTTAGAATCTTTGCATAATTTTGAGTGTGTTCTTATTTTGTTTTCTGTGCAGTTAAGAAAGATTGGGGGTGGGGGCTTTGGAGAAATTTACGATGCCTTGGACATGCTCACCAGGGAGAATGTGGCACTGAAGGTGGAATCAGCTCAGCAGCCAAAGCAGGTCCTGAAGATGGAGGTTGCTGTGTTGAAGAAGCTACAAGGTAAGCTGCCCTGAATGCTGTGCAGAGGTGCTTTGTGTGAGAGTTTACAATTGTTTCAATCGTCCCTGATTAAGTTCTTATACTAATGGCCTACACTGGTGTCAGCCAGGTATAAACATGTTATGTTTGTGCTGAAAGCTTTAGAATATAATAGAAATGTGTGATTCCTAGAGTAATTGGGCTTTAGAAAATTCTTTTCACGGTAAGGACGAGAGATAATTAGAATCACCCTGCTACTTTAGAAAATGTATTAAATCTGCTATGGTAACATTTACATCTTCCTTTGAACCAATCACAAAACACATCTGAGACATTGCTGCACTTGCCTTTGTGCACGGAACATTCTTGGATCACATTATGGAAACTGTCTTCAAACCATACTGCAGGATGGATTAAAAATGATAAGGATGAAAAAAAATGATAAGGATGTTGTATGTTCTCATTAACTTTAGTTTCAGCACATAGCTCATAATTTTTGGAGTTCATCTTACTACTCAGGTACCTATATTTTTACTATAAGGACAAATCTTTTTTTTTTCTGATGTCAATCTGATAATCATGGAAAACCCTGAATGTATTGCTAGTGTCGTGTCATCTCTATGATCTCTGTTTAATGGTATTACTAATATCAAAATCACATAAGACTGATGACCATTGCTCTTTGACCTAAGATTTCCAGTTGCCAGAGTTTCTCTACCGGTTTAATTGGATTGCAACATAATGCTAATGAAATTATAACTCTTTCAAAGTAGTTTTTAAGCTCAGCTTTAGCTTTTCCATGTCACAGTACACCAGGAAGATTATAGATCACTTGACCCACGATGTCATGGCTAAAAAACAAAGACTCACAAAAGGAAAAGGAGAAAATGAGGGCTCTTTATATGCTCCTCCCGCCTTGTCTCCCTAGTTGTTCTCAACTCATTGTAGAAGCCACAGATAAGTGCTGCTGGGACTGTTCCTCTAGGCCTGCACAGAGCCTAGGTGACCTAAATAATACTAACTGAGCCCATAAGGGCAGAGTCATCAGCAGTCACTTGGCTGTGCCATTTCACCAGTCTCTCCCCGACCTCAGGACATGGGCCTGTGAGACAGGAGACACTGCTGCAGCTCCTTTAGTAGCTCTGGCTACTTTGGACTTGATTTTCATGTGGTAAAGCTTAAAGATTAATACACTTTATGGGTAAAACTGTTGCTGGAATTCATTTGTACTCTTCATTTTATCATTTAAAAGTTACAGTCTGAAATGTTTTTCTTGCCTGCTCATACCTATATGAATCCCATTCCTCAGAACCCCTTTCCACCAATGAACAGGTTTTTAATCTTCTGGTCTGTATTTCATTGAGGCAATCCTTGACTATCTTCTTTTGGCTTCCTAATGCAAGCCTTCTGCATACTTACACTTCACAACTTCTTTTGTTGAGGATGCTCGTCATCTGGACCTTTGAGAATATATTTGTGGACATCTTGCTTTGCTGGTGGCATGATGTGGCACGAAATAACTCCCAGGTGTAAGAAGACTAGAGGCTAGCCTCCTATGAGATTAGTCTCGTATATTCCAGTCTGGCCTTGATCTAGGTAGCCAGTGATGACCTTGAACCTCTGATCCTCCTGTTTTTCCATCTCCTAAGTGATAGGATTACAAATGAGTGCCACTATACCTGGCTTGACCATGGTAAAAAAGGAGCTTCTCTGGCTAGAGCTGACAGCAGCACTAATCTATACACACAGACATAGCTGTTTAGAAGTAACTTGATTGGCATATTTTGTCCATTTAGCAAAACAGCAAGAGTAGTGTCCCTGCTAAGGCTTTTGACCTCCATAGCCACAGGCTTTTGACCTAGTTCATAATACTAGATGTGAATTCCTTCCTGTAGAGTGGGCATTAAATCCGATCTAAAGTGACTTGTTACTCACATAACACAGTTCTTAGAAAGGAACCCTTATAACACCAAACTTAAAACTGTGGCATCAGTGGTCCAAGCCTGCCTGAGCAGTGGATATTACTGCACACAGGGTCCACAGCTGAGTGAGACTGTTGTTAACAATTCTTTCCTGCTTCTGGCACCATGGAGGCTACTGAGCAGGGAGAAAACTTTCCAGCCCAGTTCCAGCTTGATTTCTCTGTTATGTGCCCAAGGCTAATTATGTCTTCAGCTATAAGGGCTTGCCATCTGTTTCTAGTGGGCAGCTACCAGTAGTGGCAATAACTTGTACTTTTTGGGAGGTTTCAGGAGCCTCCTTGATCAGCAACTTGTCAGGAGGTACTGACACTGGGACTTATGTTTAATGATCCATGGTTTCTGGGAGCATCTTTATCCCTCAACACAGGATAGGTACCTCCATTGAAGTTCTTTAAAAAAGTGGGGTGTGTGTGTGCGCGTGTTTTTATGTGTGTGTGTGTTAGGAGTCACAGAAGACAGAAGAGGGCATGGGCTCCTCCGAAACTAGAGTTACAAGCAGTTGTGAGCCATCTTATGTCAGTCCTGGGAACGGAATTCTAGTCTGCTGCAAGAACAGCAAGCTCTCAGCCATCTTCAGCCCCTTATTAAATTGTGTGTTTGTTTATTAGCTCATTAGGGTTCAGATTTCCTTGAGGCTTTTTCATGTATTTCGACTAATTATCCCCTGTTCTCTCTTCTCCCTCATCTCTCTTCATCCCCTCCCCACTTAAGCCTTTCCACCTTCAGTATTTCTCTTTTGATTTTACTTGTATCACATACATTCTACTTACTTCCCCTACACAAGGATTCCCACTAACCCTCTTACGAAGGCCCTTTGCTAATTTTCCTGGGTTCTATATGCACTTGGTCTCACATAAATGTGCATAGCTTAGAGAAGCTAGGTTATAACATATGAGTGAGACATGCAGTGGTTTTTGTTTGTTTTTTTCTGAACCTTAGATACCCCACTCATATACTATTTTCTGGTTCCATTCATTTGCCTCCAAATTTCATAATTTTGTTTTTATTTACATCGGAATATATTCCATTGCATATACATACTCCATTTTCATTATCCATTCAGTACTTGACAGACATGTAGTCTGGTTCCATTTCTTTGGTGTTGTGGATGAAACAGCAGAAAACAAGTCTGTACAAGTATCTCTGTGATGGGAGATAGCATCATTTGGGTATACCAGAAGTAGCATAGCTGGGTCATCAGGAAGTTCTTATTTTAGTTTGTTGAGAAACTTCCACACCAGTTTTCATAGTGGCTGAGTAAATTTTCATTGCCACCTGCAATGAATAAGAGAAAGTTTTCCTTGCTTACTTGCTGTACAACTCTGTCAGTGTGTTTTGCCATTTGTTTTCATGAATGATAGCCATCCCAAAGTAGGTTTTTGTTTTGGTTTTTTGGTTTTTGGTGGGTTATATGTATGTGTGCCTGTGTGTTTGTGGGGGAGAGGGGCTTGTCTGTTTGTTTGGTTTATCCAGACAGTGTTTCTCTGTGTAGCTCTGGCTGTCGTGGTACTTGATTTATAGACTAGGCTGACCTTGAACTCACAGAGATCCTGCTTCTGCCTCCCTGAGTACTGGGATTAAAGGCATGTGCCACCATGCCTGGCCTGTAGTTTTAATTGGCATTTTCTCTGGTGGCTAAAGATGTTGATCCTTTTAAAAAAATGTGTCGTCCCCCCCCCCTTTTTATTTCTTCTTTTAAGAACTCTGTTCAATTCCTTAGTTTTGTTTTGTTGTTTAGCTGGGGATTTTGTTTTGTTTCTAGTTTTTTTATATTTTGGATCTTAATCTTCTGTTAGATGTGTGTCTAGTTAAGATTTTTCTCCCATTCTGTAAGCTGTCTTTTCACTGATTGAGTTTTTGTGCAGAATCTTTCTGCATATGAGGTCTCATTTGTTGATTTGTGGGCCTTATTTCTTGAGTGGAGTCTTTGCCTGTACTGGCACCTTAAAGTGTTCTGCATACTGTTTCATGTTGCAGTTTCAGGTCTTCCATTGAGGGGCTTTATTCATCTGGAGTTGTTTTTCATGCCTGGTGAGAAGTAATGATCTGGCTTCATTCTTCTACGTGTGGATGTGGACTTTGCTCAGCATCACATGTTGAAGAGGCTGTCTCTTCTCCAGTGTGTATTTTTGTCAAAAAACAGGTGGCCTTAGCTATGTGGGTTTATATCTAAGTCTTCTTTTGTTATCATCTTGGTGTGTGTGTGTGTGTGTGTGTGTGTGTGTGTGTTAGTTTGTTTGAGCTAGTATTATGCTGTTATTTTACTGTTTCTGTAGTATAATTTGAAATCAAATACAGTGATACTTCCAGTATTAATTTTTTTATACTTTTGCTTTGGGTATCTGAGTTCATGTGTGCTTTCATATAGATTAAAAACATTTGTTTTTTTATTATTCATTTATTTATTTTAAAGACAATCTCACTGTGTGACCCTGACTGGCCCCACAAAGAGACGTCTCTCTGCCTTCTGAATGCTACAGTTAAAGGCATGTGCTAGCATGCCTGACAATAATTTTTTGTTTTTGAGATTATACATTTCTTCCCTCTTTTTTTTCTCCTTCCAAACCCTCCCATATGCCCCTCATTGCTTTTTTTTTTTCAAGTTCATGGCTTCTTTCCTTTATTTTTTGCTACATGTATATATGTATCAAATACATTCTTAAATGTATTGCTCAGTCTGTATAATGTTACTCATATGTATGTTTTCAGGGCAGAATATTTGGTATTGGATAACCAATTGGTGTCTTCTTCCCTGGAGAAGACATTTCTCACACTCCTTAGTTTTTCTCACATTCCTTAGTTGCTTGTAGTTCTCTATGTAAGGTTGAGGCCTGTGTCTCTCCTCCTCCTGGCCTTCCTCCAATATCTCTAATATGCCTGTTGATGCCTTGTTCATCTCATATTTAGGCAGTCAAGTTAGTGAGACTTTTTGGGTATAGCTTCTGGCATTACTGGGAGACACAATACCACAGCAAGATCCTTGTGCCTCTTCAGCCCAGTCTTCCACGATGTTCTCTGAGCCTTAACTACAGGAGTGTT